AAGTATATATATATATATATATATATATATATGTATATATATATATATACCACACATCGTACAAAGCGTAAGAGGTAGAAGTGCTGTACAATTCCCATGTAGTCTTTGGTTAGGCCATGCTTCAGACTCACCAAGTCCCTCCTCCTTCTAAAATGGGGAAATTGGTACCGAATTGGTCTGAGAAGAGTTCGCTCCCTGCAATGCAAGTGGGAACGCTCCTGCGCGGCTGTCCCTAGACCCTAGGGAGAATGGACTCGGTCAGCGTTCAACCACATCCATGATGAGAGGAAAATCATCAAGCAGAAGCCAAAGCCACGCGTAAAAGTTGGAAGACCTTCGTGGACGATGGATGCGAGGAAATGAATTGAATGTGAGAAATGCTGGGACCCGCATAGTAGATGTGGAAGACGGGTCGTGCGCATATGTGTGTATAAAACATGTTTGCTATTAATTGGTTACCTCGAAGGGACGAACGGCTTATTTGCCTAGAAAGCAGAATATAATCAGTGATCACGTAAGTATTCCAGAGCCTCTCTAAGCCCACTAAATAGCAGTCGAACTCGGATGTAAATCTGAGGATGAAGGATGCAAGGCAAAGAACCAAATAAAATTGCTGGGATACACATAAGCTATAAAGACAGGCCGTATGAATAAAAAATGTCTTACAAAATACTTACTTGATACTTGAACAGGCCGTCCTCGCTAGTTGTGCGGGCTCCAGCAGGAACACCATTTTTCGGAGATTTGCTGTTTAAGCTATTTGTCGTTCCCTGGCATCCAGAGGTCGATCTGGCCAAAGTCCGCCCCAGGTCGTCACCACCTCAGGCAGCTGCCGTCCTTGTGGATCAGGGGGAGATTTGCCACCATGCGACTTTGATACCAAGACGGTAGTGGATCATACTATTGGTTTACTCTTAGCTAGGTTTCCTGATGGAAACGCCGGACTCCTTCTCATCTTGGGAGACCCTGCTGGGAGGAATCCCCCACTCTACATCCCAGGAACACCACCCAGCCACGATGAGGTCAACCATTGGGAGGCTTACAAGACAACAACATGCAATAGTAAAGAATATGCGAAAATTCATAATACAATAAGACGAAATAATATAATAAGCTGCCTTAACATGTTCACACTCTTGAACCGCTTAGATGAAATTAAACTTAAAAGCATACAACTGTAAAGACGCTAAATGTTAGAAAAAAGATCTAAAATTAAACTCTCCACACCTCGCCGTCGACGTAGGCCTCTTCACCTCGCACGACAACTTTGATGATTCGTCCCCGAACTTTCTTTCCAGCATACGGTGTCCACCCTGCTTTGCTCTCTCCGCCAGTTTTTGGAATTTCCCATTCCTCGTTCAAGTCAACCTTAAAGCAAATTGGTTTGCAAAAAACAACGGAAAAGTTTCACGTTTTTCTTTAATTTTAACTTAAAGAACACTCACAATCTACGATTAAACTAGCACGTTGAGTGACCACTTCGGTCCAACGTTAAAGTGGATTTTCTCTCAAAACCTCAGTGTCTAAGAGCTTAATTCTTCCTGATTTCAGAAAGCCAAAGTTAACAAACTGTTTGCCGCGAAGAAAATTCTCAGAGCTCAGGAACAAAATATTAAACCTGATATGGTTTCTTCTCTCTTACAACGATAAATAGGCAAAGCTAACCCAAGCATGCAATGGCGTCAACTCGCTCACTACTCATTTTCAAGGATGCTATTCCGTGGCAATCTCATCAGCAGCATAAAAAAAACTTCAGTTGTGGAGACTGTGGAGATTATTCGCTTTCAACTAAAACGGTAAGAGTTTTAAAGGAGCCCCCATAAATTACTGCGTATAGATGTTGTTGCACACCACGTTACTCTTTGTCAGACATTTGATAACTTTCTCCGTGAGCGTAGCAAAGAAGCAAATAGCGAACCGCTGCTCTAGCATTCAAATACTGCTCTTCAGTAAAGGGTTCACATCGATCATCTTCACCAATTCTTGCGTGTTCGCACCCAGGTGCTCACGCAGCCGATATTCCACCTCGTCGAGCTTGACTGACGAGAGGACTGCTAAGCCTGACATTCGTAAGCTTTGAGAGTCATAGCACTGACTGAGAAATGTTGGAACCAGCAAGGATGAGCTGCTTACGATGACAAAAACATGGATCATAGCAATGCAGTCGCGAAGTTAGTAAGAACTCATAGCAGACAACCAATTTCAATGCCTCATGGCAACTAATCTCTCGAATAGTTCCTATCGTTCTATATTATCGTATGTTTCTTGTGCTAATTATTCGTTATCAACAACACTTAGTTTTCCTTAGTATCGCTTAACAACCTCGCAGTTTGAACTACTCTGTTGACTTTCCCTTGCCGATCTTAAAAACTCTTCTCGTGAGCTTCCTATCTAATGGCGTTTCTTTGTAAGCACGTCCATTCGAATTGGAGGAAGTTTCTCCGAATTTAAAGACTTTGTTGCTAATCTATATGTACAAGCTGAGCTATTGCTAGCCATGTTCAAAACCTTCTCATATACTACAATACGAATGGAAAAAGTTCATTGTACGAGCCACCCTCCTCATCTGATGCGGCTGTCGGAGTTTCCTTCCTAGGAAACTCAGAAGCAAGACCAAACCTCGCTTACACCAGAAAGTATTTAATCGGCCTTATGAGTCTTCATCTAATTCGTTTGGTTAGTATCGTTTCAGTCATCACATCCATCTTACTGCAATATTTCATGTAGAAGATTACAATTGCTGAACTCCAGTCACTAATCCACGCAAACCTCATAACACTGCTAGTATAAGCTAAAATTAATACAACCTCACATGTACCTTCTATTACGCTAGCCTTCTATGGCGTTACTACTGTATTCTGTCTCATGCTTGCAAATCACATAACTCCACCGACCTACGGCAGATCTCTCTTATCCTATTAGATCGCTATTGTTGTATTAGTATTATTGTAAACGGCTTAATTATTCAAAATAACAAAAATAAAAGTCCTGCACAGCATCCCGCGTGCAAAATTAGTACAAAATCGAGCACTCTGCTTTGAGCAGGTGATTATTTAGTTCTGACAGCCGACTCATAGAACTATACTTCGCTAAGCTGAGCATTACAATTCTAGTGCACTGGACTAACGAATATATGTTTGGCCATTTTGCTTGTTCTGCTCTGTTACACAACCTGAAACTTCAAACCTTACGTAAAAATCTTCTGAAATTTTCTACAAGATACTTGAGTAGAGCAAGCTTATAACCCATTTTAATAAGAAAGACACTTTTACTAACGTAGTGTGATTATTTTCCACCAACCCAGTGCTAACGGATCTGAAAATATCACATGGAGCACAAAGAGAAGGCGGACATTTGCATGGTGTTGAATCTTTGTCACTGAAGCATGAAGTCTGTTACAAAAGAAAGGGCTTACCTCTATGTAAGTGTCACTTTGATCAGGTAACCCGAAGATCCTCTTCGGATTATAGTGAAGACGATCAACAAGCTGCCTGCAAGAACTGTTCTAAATTCATTGAAAATCACTTTTTATTTTTACTACACCTCAGTTTTATTGTGCACTACAATGAAGGCTAGGAAACTCTTTTCGATGTCCCATTGACACTTCATGAGCACGAACCTCATTGTAAGTTTTCCTTGAGAAACCGCCGTCAGCAACAACGGGACCATATACTCGATACTAGGGAAGCCAGGTGGAGTCTTTTCCGAACTATTCTTCTCATCCCATGTATGAGGAGCTGGATTGCATGATATTACAGGAACTCATGGTTACGAACCATAAAATGTGAATTCATATGAAGAGAGTTTTACATACCATGATCAGTCGCAAAGCAGTCTATATAATCAAGGTTATTCCACAGCACATTCCTATCTTCGATGGTCGCCAAAGCTGGACGAACCTTTGATGGTCCTCATTTAGATTCAAACTAGAGCATTAAACAAAAGCCAAAATTATTCTTTTTTCTAGTCTCTAATACCTGATAAAACTAATTTAAAACTACTTCTACAAACCTCACGTACACCTGCTGGTAGGTCTTCATATGTGAGAAAAAGATGATGTGGGCAAACCTCGCATGTTACAGGCCAACCCTAAAAGTTCTCTTGTAAATCACGATTCAATCAATGCGATTCATTTAACTAATAACGATGAAAAGCAAATAATAAAACAAACCTTCCGTTTAGCATCACGTACCAACTGAATCTCTTCTGCATTTGATACATGACATATATGTACTAAAAATAACAATCAGCAGTCACTCGGAAATCTAATTATATACATATGCTGCAACAATACTGTGGGTAGTCCAGACCGCATGTGTCTGCGGTGGGGATCGAACACTCTATTACCCTTTCCGGGGGATAATGTGTTCATCATCACACCATCGAGTCCTTCATTTCGTCTTTCTCTCAGCTAGTTTTCTATATATCAGTGCGACCAGCAATCATCCGCCAACGAGACTGATCAGGGGAGCATTATTAAAATGTTTTTCAACACCACGTACCTGTGCGACCAGTCATTTGTGCCACGCAAAGAACAGCGGCTAGAGTCTGCTTTTCAGCATGACAAACGATTGGACGTGATGTTGGAAATGACTCAAAGTGCTGAAAAATAAGTTCGTTGTTCTACAATAAGTAGAAAAAACCTTTTGTAATTTAGCGTTTGTTTAATTGGTAGCTCCTTTTCCTCTCATTACTCAATTCCTTTCCTCCTATTAATCATACTCTTACTGCCTTTCCCGACTATTCTTCATGTAACCTCTATAAGATGCAAGCCGTTTTGTAACAGAATTTCGAATATGTTTTGCGAGTACCGGTTCCCGTTCCCATTATTCACCGAGTCAAGGACGTAAAATTAACGCTGTTCATTAGGTAAGTTCTACATACACCAATTAGCCAGTTAAAAAGAAACTTTCGCAACTGCTGCATTTATGTACCTTCACCCAATCGGCTACAGAATCCATTTGTAGCGTGGAAAACGTTTCATTGAGATACATTTTCAAGCCGGCTGTCACTGGTGCAAGTTCAGCAGCGACACGAGCATTCTGTGGTGTTGCACCCAGGTATAACGCGTAGTCAACTACTGCTTGTTCACTGGCCAACTGAAATGTCGTCGATCATGAAGCACATATTTTTGTCTGAACGAAGTCCCACTCCAAGTTCAATCAAAACTGCAAGAAAAATGAAGACGATTAGCACTAAGAATTTTTACATGTGAAATAAAAAAACAAAAGGATAAAAGCTCTTGTCTTTGATCAGTCCCTGAGGGATTCGCCATGCATTTGACTTCATTAAGCATCGTATTGAGTTGATTGGATCCAACAGGATACCAATACCAGGATCCACCACCGTCCTAGTATCAAAGTCGCATGGTGGCAAATCTCCCTTCGATCCACAACTGCTGCGACTGACTGTCGTAGTGACGACCTGGGACAGACTTCAGCCAGGCTGTCCTCGGGATTCCAGGGAACCACAATGGCTTAACCAGCAATTTTCCGAAAAATGATGATTATGCCGGGGCCCGCACAACTAGTGAGGACGGGCCGTTCAAGTATAAAGTAAATAAGTGAGTTGATTGAATATATAGCTGGCCTTTACAATGACTCGCAGTGGTTTACCGATGTGTCGAACCAGTCGATTATCGTCCCAGAGAAGTCTGGTGCCAATCTGATGGCCCCAGAGGGATGGAAGGCTTGGTGAGCCACTGGGGCGGGTATCGATCCTATGTGTATTGCAGGGCGTCTCCGACCACTGCGCTTTTAGATATACGAGTGATAAATTCACTACTTCCTTAGTATAGTTGGCATACCAAAATTTGAAAAATCGACAAACCTTTTCTGTCAACTGATAACTATCCTTATCAATAAGAGGTGGATTTGTATTCGGCATTGCCAGTATCTGAGTGATTCCACCGGCCAAAGCTGCACGAGTGCAGGTGTACCAGTCCTCCTAAATCTCCTCAGAATTCACAAGCACATTTACTTCTGAACTTTATAGCTGATGTATTCCCATTTTAGTCATCGAATTATCATGCTGACTAATTTCATCTTAACATGAAAATTTATTATAGCCGAACGTAATTTTTCATGTGAAAACATTAAGGACGGTATTCTCAAGGAGAAGTTTCTACGCCTAGGTCTGTTTTCTGTTTTCACTAAATTCCACCAAAGTAAATCAATAGTCACCAAAGATCCATGGGCGCTTGGAAAGAACATATAGATTGAGTACTTGACACTTGACTCTTGAACGGCCCATTTCCTCACTTGTTGTGCAGGTCACAGTATAATCACAATTTATCGGAGATTTGCTGGCTAAACCATTGTGGTTCCCTGGAATCCCGAGATCAGCCTGGCCAATCTGCCCCAGGTTTTCGCCACTACGGGCAGTCGCAGCCCTTGTGGATCGGACATTTGCCACAATGCGACTTTGATACCAGGACTGTGGCGGATCCTCGTATTGGTCTACTCTTAGTTAGGCTTCTTGTAAAAAACCCCGGACTCCTCAGCTTGGGAGACCCTGCCAGGCGGACGAATTCCCCGCTGTACACCGCATACACCCAGGAACACCTCTCAGCCACGATAAGGCGGTAAACCGTTGGGAGGGATTAAGTACTAAAGAAGGTATACACTCGACTAAAGTAATAAATGTCTTAAAAATAATGCATGAATAAAGTTAGGTTGCGAAAAATTGTGCCAAAACCGCCATTAACTTTGAGACGCGCGTATACCTATGGTACCTCAGAAATTTTATTTTACCTTGTTTCGACGTACCTTATGAGTTGCTCCCGGTTCTCTAACATGTACATGAACATCAATCAGTCCTGGAAGACGCTTCAGGATTCGACTTGCAACACAATCAATCTGCGAATTCACCGGTGGACGACGACCAACCGTGCGAAGTGCCTTCAAGAATGATGTAAATTTTAAAGAAAACTAGTAAACACCAAGTCATTTCATTGAGATTTTACGACTTTGTAAATGTTTAGAACTACAAAAGAAACAGTATGTAATCTAACTGTTTACATCTAAACAAGCGCCGACTCACTTCGACAAATAACTTTGCACACTTGATATCAGTGATCAGTGGAATACCGTTATCGATCGCCATTCGTCTTGTCTTATATCCATGCGTTCTGAAGAAATATGAGCAGTATTATAAGCGTATAATATCAATAACTCCGCTGAGAGAAAGACAAGCGAAGGACCCGAGTGGTGTGAAGGCAAATGTGTTAGCCCTCGGAAGAGGCAATAGCGTGTTCGCCCAGCGTAGACACCCTAGGTCCGGAGCTTTGCCAATATAGCAGCATCATTATGGTTATAAGCAACAGAGTTATTGCTGAATGTCGTACACAATCAAGACTACTTTAACACTGCAACCGTAACTAAAAGATCGATCACCTGTAAGCCGACACACGATATGCGCCTGATCCACGAATCGGGAGATTTATGACCAAGTGAAACTCTTTGTTTTCGAAGAACTCCGCGACAGACCTAAAGTCACAATACAAACTATGTGAAATGTGTCACAAATGAAGGTTAATAAAACAAGATCTTGCTAATATATGACACCCTACTTGTGCATACGAAATAGGGTAACACTCATAAAGTAAGGCATTCTTCTAGAGTTCAATACAATTTAGCATTATTTCCTCACATGTGTCCACTGGCTTAATCTCAAACTTTAAGAAGGCAGAAAAAAACATCACAGGAATACGGTACGTTTCTATGACATCAATGAACACTAAATCTTTCAATTTCATAATGTTCACCTGGTTCCGGAAGCCGTTTTTTCGTCTGACGATCCTTCTTCAAATGGCCAATCGACTGCTGTTACACGAATATTATTTGACTGGAAGTAATCGGCTGTGCCTTTTGAGCCGTACAGTTCGAAACCCATATTCTGCAGAATCTGTACGCTTTGCAACATTTCTGACTTTGCCTGGAACATTACATTTTTCAGCTCACAATAAAATCTAAGGAACTACCATTACGAGTTACGTATGAATTTTATAATAACAAACTGCACCGTTTTTGATTTCCAAATTCTACATAGCAGTGCGCTGAATAGTTCTTTACGATTAAAAAATGACTTGAACTTTCATACAAAGGCACATGTAGCAGAGTGGTTCTACCTATTCTCCGACGTACATAGTCATTAGTTTGATCGTACCCCCATGGCTTACCAGAACCACTCCTCCCAATTTAAACTGGGTCGGCAAAGTGGTACTGTCAACCACATTTTTAGTACGATACAAACCATTCGTTAAGAATGTTGGGATGACGACAGAAAACTTACGTGATAGCCTCCAATTGACAAAAAGATATTCCGTTTTGGAAGAACAAATCCCGTAGAAAGGAGCGCTTTTAAATATGCTTCTTTACGATCTTTACCAAAACAAGCAACCTGGAATACACTTTTAATTTTACAACAATCTTTGGTTGATTTTACAAACCTACCTCTCCTGTGGAAGCCATTTCAACACCAAGCATAACATCAGCACCTGTCAATCGTGAAAATGAGAACTGTGGCACCTGAAAGGCACGTAAAAAATGCAAAAAAGTCGATTGCACTAAAATAAAAAAGGAATAGGTAAAGTTTAGTAATCTACCTTCACCCCAACACGTCCTTTACCACGTAGCAAAGAGTGTTTCTTTAATGAGGAACCAATAGCTGGATTATCAACGCTCATCATTGCTCGAGTTGCCAACGCCACAAAGTCAAAATCCAATGTTTTTGAGACGAAGGGGAATGAACGTGACACGCGTAGGTTACATTCAATGACTTTCAATTCGTTATCCTGAAAAGCAGAAAAAAATCTGGATAACTACTGTTGAAGTGGTTATTTGTTCTTTGTATGTAACTTATGCATCACTTGTAAAGAAGATTTGACGTAGCGAATACGAGATTACAATATAAAATCAATTACCAAGAAACATTATGCGAAATTTAAAAATGGAACTTAGCTTTACAGCTTCGAAATGGATAACGCCTCAACAGTTTGCATCCTCATCTTGGCTGGGAGATGTTCCTCGGTGTGGGTGTCCGGCCGCAATGTAGAACGGGGTGATTGATCCCCCAGCAGGAGCTCACAAACTGAGAAGTCCGGCTTTTCCATAAAGAAGCCCAACTAAGAGTAAACCAGTGCCACGACCCACCACTGTCCTTGTATCAAACCAGTCGCATGGTGGGAAATCTCCCTGATTCACAGGGACGACGACCGCCTGTGATGATGACGACCTAGAGCAGACCTTGAGCAGGCTGACCTCGGCTCAAGGAACCACAATGGTGAAAACAGCAAAGCTCCGAAAAAATGGAAATGATGCTGAGATCCGTACAACCAGTGAAGACAGGCCATCCAACTATCCAAGTAAGTAGTTGTGCAACAGTTAACCATGTGAAACAAATGTAGAAACAATGCAACTGAGTTCAAAGTAGGTTCCTTCAGGATTAATAACGCCAAAAATTTTGTTCACGTCGAAAGAACTTGCCTTGGCAATCAGCTGCATGTTAAATGGCCCATTTGCGTTGAAAGCGGACGCAATACGATGTGCGATTTCCTGGATACGATCAAGTGTGACCTAAATAATCCCACTTTTTTTAATACTCAAGACTATGATCATCGGTTCGTCTCATATACCTGATTTAGATCTTGTGGGGGTGTTACAAGAGTGGCGTCACCAGAATGGATTCCAGCACTCTCTACATGTTCACTAACAGCCATTACAAGCACTTCGCCATCCATTGCAACAGCATCTACATCGATTTCCTTTGCTCCACTAAAGATTCCAGAAATAGTGAAATCAAACGGTTGTTGAAAAGCTGAGTGAATACTTAGCTGCCATGACTACACTTTGCTACAATTGCAAACTACATGAGAAGAAACCCTTTGTAGAAACAGATACTTAGCTCCCTTGAATTATTAAATATACCTAATAAATTTTGACACCACTACTGGGTGTTCTTTTGCTACCACGGTGGCCTGCTTTAAAAAAGCAGCCAAGTCGTCCTCGTTATGAGCTACATTCATCGCAGCACCCGACAGCACGTACGATGGCCGAATAAGGCATGGATACCCAACTTTTGCGCAGAATTGCTGTAAAAGTAACTGTAATGTACAAAACCGTGTAATGTCCAGCCAGATACCTAACCTTAGCGTCTTCGATATTATCACTCCTCTTCCACATCGGCTGACTGATTTGTAACGTCTCCAATTTCCTACTAAATTTGAAGCGATCTTCAGCGCTATCGATATCATTAGGTGACGTACCAAAAATATTTACCTAAAGTGAATGATTATCTGAGCTCGTATGTGCATACAAAATATGTGACTCTAAAGATTGAAAAGGCTCCCGCCAAACAAATTCCTTAAATGGAGGTCCAAACATCCACGCAACCAAGTTGTTCAAATTCTCGCACGGACTATGATGAAAAACACGCTCAACCCAACAATTGGAACATAACGGGATGCACCATAACAGCATAACAGACAATACTCCCACAACCGACTTTCTTCCAATCTCGCCTTTAACCCAATAATTCTTTATGTCTACGAATGTCTAAGTGTCTGTCTGCCTATGTCTGTATTTTGTGTACGAAGCAGATAAGATTTGTTCGCCAAGCGAAAGAAGAGCGCAACGAAAGAAAATGTTGTGCTCAGCCATAGCCTTTTTTATTTACAGCCTACTAAAATTTTTCACGGCAGGGTAACACATGTGAAATTGACTGCGCTTAGTATAAGGACGATCGCTTCTGGAGGACAATAATGGGCACTGAGGAAGGTTAAATCCTCCGAAACGTCAGCTTTTCTGTCCACAAAGAATAAACTAATACCTCTTGTTTGCTCAACAAGAGCATAAAGGACAAACAATATTGTTAAAATAACGATTAATTACAACCAGATATACAAAAATGAACATACATGTGCTTTACTGAGGCTCAATGCAATATTATTCGCTGCTTGACCACCAAACGCTAGGATTACACCCTTCGGCTTCTCCATATGGTAAATATCTATCACTGTTTCGAAAGAAATCTCTTCAAAGTACAGTCGATCACAAATGTCGTAATCAGTGGACATCTAAAAGAGTGAAAATAGATAAACACTAATAGATTAGATTTTTTGATTGAATAGATGCATTCCAGCACTTCAGGTGATTTTGAATAATGAAAAAACACTCAACGTCTCAGGATTACAATTGATAGTGATCGTTTGATATCCTAGGACTTTAAGCTCTCGCACACATCCCACACAAGATGCATCAAACTCTACTGAGGAACCGATTCGATAGACACCGGAACCAAGCACAATGACTGCACTCTTCTAAAAGTTTTAAAGAAGTCCTCTAGATAAAACAATAGTGGAAAAGTGGTAAACAGAAGTAGAAAGAATAGTGGAAAAATAAACAAACTAATAGACAACAACAATAACAATTTGCAAACAGTTCAGCGAAAGCACCACTTCTGAACGCATGACACTTTCTGCTTTATATAACATCTATACAACATACCATGCTAAACCGCACATCGTTCTCTGTACCATTATATGTGACGTAGAGATAGTTTGTCTGTGCCGGCCACTCACCAGATACGGTATCAATCTGTTTAACACACGGTTTCATATTTAAGCGCAAGCGTTTCTCACGGACCATAGATTCCGTACTGAAACAGGTTATGATAAGTACGCAACAGAGATTCTTGAATTTAAAAAGCTAAAATCCTGACAAACCTCTCAACTTTAGCAGCAATTTGCTTGTCGGAAAACCCAGCCTGTTTAGCTTCAAGCAGAAGTTGGGCGGAAATTGAAGCCAACTGGAATTAATTGCTAACAAAAACAATATTCCAAGTCAAAATGAACACTATTCCTGACCGTCTCCTTCTCCAGTTTATGGTAAATGTCCACTATATTGTTCATTCTATGCACGAACCACTTGTCAATCTGTGTGAGAGCAGAAACATCTTCGACTGTAAAGTCACCGTAGTACAGGCCACGGGCAATGGCAAACATACGTTTGTCTGTAGGCTTCGATAAATCCTAAAATTTCTTACTGACTAAGAATATCAAGTTTCTGACATAGATCAGGTTGGTATAATATTAAATGGACGAAGCAATAGCCACACTAACTTAACCACAGATGGTCATTACCTCCATCGTCGGTCTTCTTGGAAAAACGGTAGGGGAGAATCCGTCCGCATGTTCGCTCACCATTCTTAATGCCTTTTGGAACGCTTCTTCAAACGATCGGCCTATTCCCATTACTTCACCGACGGATTTCATTGAGCTGCCAATCTGAGATTTCGTGTCTCGGTTAGCGTGCTAAGTTCAAAACATTACGCAGCAAAATGACCTCCCTTTAAAAAGATGCTAAAAACCTAGCCAAAAATTTCGAAACACAAAAAAGCGGGAGATTTAACTATGTAAATCATAGTCAACAACACAAAACTGCATCATTTAGACTAAAAAACTGCATGGCGACGAAACTATCAAAAGCACAATGCAGTGAAAATTTACACCATATGTCAATGAAAAACAAAGAAGATGGACCCTAGCCTGTTAACTACCAAACCCATTATTTCCGACCAAAACCAATATTTAACTGTAGTAAAAACAACACCTGTTGGCTCACACGAGCAAATTTCCCAAGATCCCACCGAGGAATCTTGACAACGCAATAATCCAGTGACGGTTCAAAACAAGCAGTAGTTACACCTGAAACGATAAAATGCGATTATGATACTATTCGTTTGAATGGATAAGTGAACAGAAACTTACCAGTGACACTGTTTCGAATGACAGGAAGTCTCTGACCAAGGGCCAACTTGGCAGCCACATATGCGAGTGGATATCCGGTTGCTTTCGATGCTAATGCTGATGACCGAGATAATCTTGCGTTCACCTCGATAACGTAGTACTGAAAGCATCTGTGCTTTGAATCCCCAAACCTAATATGCATGTTTTCAAGGAACTGTAGCTCAACGCTGAAAATAATGACAAACTAATCCTCGGAGTCGAACATTCCTATCAAAAATACTTTTAATTTGTACGTCCCATGATGGCGAAAAATTACCATCTAACATATCAGTGATGTGTACTCAATGCAAAACACCAAATCATTTAATTAAAAAACACACGGTTCTTCATCAGTGGAAGGCACGTTAAAAACGGTTCTCAAGAAGGCGATGGTGCCGAAACGTCAGCCACTGTTGTATTGTTTTGTATGGAATTAAGCGTATGCTATATAACAACCTCGTGATTGCTGAACAAGAAAACGACGCATTTATAATCCAATGCCGAGGTTAATAGGAAATCGATCCTGAGAACTGTTAACAGTAATATTATCATCGCCACTTTTTGCCATCAGCAAAACGACAGCGGTCGTCCATAGGGTCGAACACGCTGAGGCCGCTAAGCCGGATGAGGAACGGATTCAGTGTATGTTAATAGTAAGTCGATCCTGGAAGCTAAAAAGCACACCCCATTTTTCTTTGGTCGTTTCACTTTTTTGCTTTTTCACGTATACGATCGCTTATTTCTTGTACCTTTTCATACCTTTTTGTGTTTCACTCATTCTCTATGTTCTATATACCTCCACAGACTTATGGAACATTATAAACTATAATGAGTGGGTGACAAAACCCATTCATCACCAGTTTATTCACGACCATCCCCGTCTTTTGTGGTCGGGTTGACAAAACATTTTAAGGCATATGTCTGCCTTTTTAAACCATTTATCTACATCCAAATTTAACGCATTCACTAATACCCTAATTTTGTGTATCGATGGCATAGAACGACGTCCAAATTTCACCCGCTCGCCGGCGCATATTGATTTCAATACGCGCCGGCAGCCAATGCCAGTCAACAGCCACTGTGCGTCTTTTCCATGTTTGTCCTACAAGTCGGTCTTTCCATCTGTCTTAGCCTGCTTTAGCAGTTTTAAGTACCCTCTATAGTAACCATTCTTAAATAGTTCCTATATCTATGTCACCTTATGTCTTCTACAATACCTGTCTATATGTAATCGTCATACATCTATTCTTGCATATTCTATAAATCGTCTCTTAGTAACCATTTCATGCAATTGCCTCGCAGGTGGTTGCAAAGTGAATCCGCAGCAGACAGCTGAATGTACTTTTCAGCATCTATCGTCCCAAGTTTCCGAATTTCCGAACACCTGCACCCTTCCGCATGTAGCCCTATCAATTTGTGCTAGTAGAAAAACTTTTAGAACCTCTCTCTGGGCGCTATCTTTAATTCCCTCTGGCAAAGCTCCACCAACGACAGAAGTAATACAGGCAGCCCATAGGCACTCGTCCTGAAGTGTTATCCGCGTTCGTCCTGTCTTCTTCCGGTCGCTCAATTCCTCAGTGCTCCAACTCCAGTGTCCGCCTTGCTTCCTTCAAGAGTACTTGTTCCCATTTCAATCCCGCTCTTATCCACCCAACTTACACATCGTCAAATATCACACATTATTATTGTATCGTTATTGTGTTATAAACTGTTATATCCAAACTCGAGGTTGTTCAAGACAGTTACGGAGAAAAGTCCCGTGTGGCGAATTCATATAGAGTCGAGCATTCCACGTACAGTTGGCGGACAAAAGACCAATCCGACCAACTCCCTAATCCACTGGCCAACTAACACACCCTCTATGACACTCCGCATAGCTTTCACGGCATCATACCATATCAAATTCTAACGCTCTACGAGAGCAAGACCGCCCACCCTTTACCCACTACTATCGTGGTTTTCGACAAGGTTTTGTATGATTCCATATGGTTACTACAACAGTTGGTCAAAAATGAAAATGTACCACAGAATTGAATCACGTTACGGAAGACGGATTCAAAATTATAGAAGCTTCCATTCTCCTCGCAGTCTTATGATACGTAGTCAGGTGGTGAAGGAGAAAAACATGCTGGTGATTACGATACGCCCACAGGTGAGTGGTGCAATTCAGTAGAACGTTTTGGTAGCCTTAGTCTTTGATGATAGTGTAAACAAAAAACACTTGGGTAATTGGATGGCCTGTCCTCACTAGTTATGTTGATCCCAACCCAATTTCCATTGTTTTCAAAGTTCTGCTGGTTGAGCTATTGTGGTTCCCTGGAACCCGGAGATCAGCCTAGCCAAACTCTACTCCAGATCGTCACCACCCACAGGCAATCGCCGCCATTGTGAATCAGACGTAGATTTCTCACCATGTGATACCAGGACGGTAGTAGATCCTGGTATTCGTTTACTCTCAGCCGGGTTTCCTAATGGAAACGCCAGACTTCTTCTCAGCTCCGGAGCCCCTGCCAGGGGATGAATTCCCAGCTGTACATCGCAGCCCGACATCCAGGAATAGCCCCAAACACGTTGAGGCGGTAAATCATCGTGAGTAAATGGAAGGCAGGAGGAATATTATAATTTTATCCACAACGTACTTAGACAAACAGCCAATATCCTTAAAAAGGATTGATTATTATGCTGACACAATGTTTTTTAAGATATTACCACGTCATATGCCAGCAATGAAATACCGACTGGATAGGCAATTGATTAACATCAGTTCTGTATAAAAGGGTACGGCCGGCTGTGTCATTCAAGCAGTGCTCCCACCACTAGATTCGGCTCGATGCGACAACGAACACCCACATCCCAGCAATCAGCAGCTGTGAACCATCGACACGGACCAACGCGGCTGTGAGGATGGCCGAAGTGCCGAAACGTCAGCGAAGCATCATGTTTGCTCAATAACACAGGAAGGTAAACAACAGACAGTCAGCTGTCAACTGCGCATAACAAACACATTACCATAACGCCGCCTGAGATAAACACGATATAAGGATCAGCACACATTTCGACCCACCACCTTAACTATCGCTAAAAACATTGAATTCCACATCCTCCTTTAGCTTACTGTTACCAGAAAAAAATACGAGTAGCATAGGTAAGATAAAATAAAACCATCGGTATTTGGAAGACTGTTTTGTAATCTCCTCAACACAGGAGAGAACGGACTAGCGTTTTCTAAATGCTAAATAGCGAGAAACCAAAGAAAAACTGGCTTTCGTTTTTGAACATTTGTACTCGCCCATCCAAAAACGGCGGCATCACCAAAGGCTCTCGTGAGAAATATGCTTTAAACAGCTATTATGTAGGCACAGAAAGAGAACAGAAGCAGAAATCCCTCAACGCCGAAGGGCAAATAGCCATTTCCAGTGGCTACGAAACGCTACCTAGCCGGGAGAGTTTTGCGGAAAAACAAAGTTTCCAAAAGACAGGTCTAACGAAAACAAGGTCCCTTTTAACTTATCCTTCGTTTCTAACGAAGTAAATACAAATACAAAGTAGTGCTCAAAGATGTCCGCTATAGAGAATTCGGCAGCAGTGATTGAAATACCACTGAGAACTTTAAGATGCTGGCTAGTTCGCAACCGCCAGCATGACCGTCCGTCTAAAATGCAAAATTGCATAATCTACCCTAATGGTAGAGAAAGTGATTTCAAGAGTTCGGGAACAGATTATCTGATATCTTCGAAAGTGTGCGGGACGAATACATTGGCGAAACGGGTGGACTCCTCCATGTCCGTGCAAAAGAGTACTTAGTTGGAAAACTTTAGCGTCGAACAAAACACCACACCATGCGGGTCCATCCTTTCACTCCTCTCTCAGCTAACATGGTAAACATTTTAGCCCTCGTAAAGGGTAACAGCGAGGTCGATCCCCATCACAGAAGCTTGCGGTCTGGACTTTTGCAAAAATTGTATTTAAAAGGAGTTGAGTTGTTTACTTGTTTGTTCCATACTATGCACATATAATGCTAAACACTCTCCACAGACGCTGATCTTCGCGCCCATTTTGTAACCGCAGATCGCATTAAATTTCATGTGATCGCATTACAAGAAACAAAAATCAAGAAGGACGACGTACACCAACTAAACAACGGGACCTTTGTGATCCGTGGAGAAAAGGTCTCGTCACGAAATGTCGGTGGCATAGGCTCTGTCGTCCACCCGTCCTCCCGTTCATCTCGTCAACTCATACGTGATCCTTTCCCCTCGCATAGCCGTCCTCCATCTTCAACTGTCGCATCATAAGAAGATCACCATCATCAACTACTACTCATCGACCGACGCAGCTGATGAGTATGAATTAAATGCGTTCTACTATCTGTTGGAGGAAGTCATCCGCAATGATAAAGCATATCATAAATTTGTTGTTGGAAACTTCAACGCCAGAATAGGAAAGACCAACGAGAGCAGATACAGGATCGGAAACTTTGGATTAGGAGAAAGAAATGAGAGCGGGAACCGTCTCGCAGTACTCCTGTCAGCAGCACGTCTCTTCCATGGAAACTCGTTTTTCCAGAAGAAAGCCGCCGGTGGACATGGGAGTCTCCCAACGGCATGACTCATGCGGAAATCGACCATAATCTGACAAACAGAAGATGGTGCCTACTTGACACATCGGTTGTCCCGTCATTCCGTACTAGTTCCGATCACTGCCTTCTTCGCGCGAAGGTTCGATTCAGCCGGGAGCTGGAAAAGAACTCTCTTCATCGACCACGAGGAGAAAGTCTACCTGTATACGACGAGAACATTCTAAACGAAGTCCTGTCCAAACGTGTCTGGCAGATTAAAAAAGACCCGACTGAAGGCTACGAGCTGCTTGTCGAAGGACTGAAAAGCTGGGCCGAATTCTCCTCAGTTCCTCAAGCAAGAAAATCGGATCGCATCTCCATCACTACTAAGGAGTTGCTCGAAAAGAGAAGGAAACTGAAGCTTGATCCTACTGCAACACGTTCAACATGGCTAGGAATAAAAGCCAGCTGCGGAAGAGCTTTGCAGGAAGATCTGCATCGGTACAAACAGAAGAAACCCCCCAGCACTGGAAGCAGCAGAGAAAAGAAGCAGTCTTCAAAATGCCGTCGGGACTTATGTGATTACAATGTTCCGCTGTCAGCCCTGATGAACGAAGATGGGATCGTCAAAACTTCCCGCCATGATATAGAATTAATAATGGAAACGTTCTACACCAACCTTTTCCGTTCCACAATCCCAATAGCTATAAAAAAAGGAGTTCGACAGGGCGACACAATATCGCCAAAGCTGTTCAGTGCCGCACCGCAGTGGATAATGAAATCACTCGATTGGGATGAGAAAAGTATACATATCGATGGAAAATTCCTATGAAACCTCCGTTTTGCCGACGACATTGTCATCTTCTCATGAAGTAGTGGCGAAGCAGAGGTGATGATCACCGAGTTCAACGAAGCGGAGAAAAAGATCGAACTGCAAATAAATCGAAAGAAGACCCAGTTCATGAAAAACCCATGGTGCGAAGGCGAAAAAATTGAATTAGATGGCTCTCTCATTGCAGAAACCACCTCGTACGTGTACTTTGGGCGATCAATGAACATGGAAAACAACATGAAGGAGGAACTAGATAGAAGAAGGAGAGCAGCTTGGGCCGCATTCGGGCCTCTCAAAGAAGCCACTAACCAACTGAAAGACCCGAAAATCCGCGATCATCTCTTTGATTCTACGGTCCTCCCAAAGTTCTGTTATGCTGCAGAGATGTGGCTTGATACTTCTACCACCTCAAGAATGCTTCACACTACTCACAGAGCGCATGAGCGATGTCTTCTGAAATATAACTGGGACTCTCAATATGTAGCCGGAATGCGAAGCTCTGACGTTCGAAATCTGTCATATATTCGGCATCCAGGAGAATATACATCGGCAGCGAAACACAGATAGGCCGGTCACATAATGAGAAGAGCAGACGACAGATGGACGAAGAAAACAGTAGAGTGGACTCCACGAGAATGCAAACGTCTCCTTGGACGACCACGTTGGGCAGACGTGTTCGTAAACAAAGTTAATCAGGTGTACCCGCAACTGCAGTTGTTTTACAGATTACGGTATGAGACTCGCAAGCGCTACCACGCTCGAACAAGACCACCACCATGGGCTACGATTGCGAGAAAGAGGAACGAACAGAACATGTGCTGGGGTCCGCAAAACTCATGTAGACGGAACGTCCAAGTATCCAAGTATCTAAGTAAATGAGTTGTTTACTGCGGGAATGAAAATTATACTGTTAAGTTTATTGCATGTCAATTTGACCTCTCTAGACCCTGAAAACGGCGAAACTATCGAAACGCTCCACCAGTACTGCATTGTATAAATGCTGTTACCCACAATAGGCCTACCCAAAAAAAAACTGAGTTGTAAAAGAATACCATGTTTCTCTTATTCTTCCTTTCTACGCAAGTGTGATATCGATGTATGCGCTTGTATATGTGTTAAAAGGCAGTGTCTGACAGGACTAATCGAATTTCATAAAACTGTGCTCGATAAATATGTACAAAAAACATACCGTATCCGACGATGGATCCAAAGCGTACTGTATATTGCATTCGCCAATAATGCCAAAATGACGGATAACTTTGATTGCACAGGTACGCAACATGTTGTATTCCCTATCGGTGAGTGTTTGAGATGGTGCGACCTAAATTATTGAGGTAAGAAAGCAGATCAGCGTTAACATAGATATAAGTTCACAACAGACATAGAAGGGTAAAGCTATCGGCGCTGATCAGCCCCTGGGAGATGTGAACTGCATTCGACTTCATTAAGCGTCGTGGAGGTGGATGAATGCATATCTAGTCTTTACAATGATGACTCGTGGCGGCCTACCAATGTATCGAGCCAGTGCTGTTATCTTCCCAGACAAATCTGGTACCAAGCTACCGACCCTCGAGGTATGGAAGGCTTGGTGAGCCTAGGGCGCGTGGACTGATTCCATGTATAGTGCAAGAAGACCTTTGACCACTGCACTACACGCGCCCCTTGCATGCTGAAATCGGAAAAATCTTTCCTTTCTTAATATAAAGAACAAACTAACCACAACGGACTCTCCCGTGTGAATGCCTAGCGGGTCGACGTTCTCCATGTTACAAACGGTTATGCAGTTATCAAATGCATCGCGAACCACTTCATATTCAATCTTCAATTTACTTCATTACATTAGCAGGCATCAACTACAACCTATTGGCCTAGGAAAGAAAGAAGGAACAATTCTAGCACAAAAATCAAACAACGTAAAATAATACAAACCTCCTTCCAACCTTTGAGACTCTTATCGATCAACACTTGATCGGAATGAGCAAGTGCTTGTTGCGCTATCGCTATAAGCTCTGCCCGACTATTAGCGAATCCAGAACCCAATCCACCAAGAGCAAACGCTGCTCGAACCAAAACAGGATAACCTAACTACAAAACACAATCACTAAGTTTATTTAGCACGAAAACGCGTATCTCAAATGCAAGTATAACCAACTAGCTCAGCTGCCTCAATGGCACCTTGTAATGTGGTGGCAGCTCGACTGGGTGCAACTTGTTCGCCAATACTCGTCACCTCAGCATTGAATCGCTCACGGTCCTCGGTGTTCATTATTGTCTGGATTGGCGTACCAAGTACCTAAACAGTCATTGTAAACTCAAAAGACCTACTTTCTATAACGCTCGGCATAAATGATCGACATATTTGTTTACTTGTCCTTATGAACTCATCTTGTTGACCTGATGCGAGGTTGGTATAAGCTGTCGTTATTGGTCGCTGGCTGACGCTTCGGTGATTTTGCCTTCCTTAAAACAGCAATGTTGCGAGTTCGACTCTCTCTCTCTCTCTTTGCGCACTGGTGCATCCTACTCGAAACACCACGGCTCTGAGAAAAGCGAAATCGCCGAAACGTCAGCCATTGAGCAACAACAACGACAACTTATACTAACCTCGCATCGGCTCGACAACAGTGGCTCATAAGTCATTTTAAATTTATCTACAACAAAAACACGAATGATTTTACCAGCTCCTATTTTACTGAATACATCTCGATATAAGAAAAAAAGCAAAACGATCATATTCGCACAATCGGTAAGAAATAAAACGAAAGATCACTGAACTGACGTCCACATGGAACTGTTCGAAAACGTTGTCCTTGTATAAATCAATCGCACAGTTAAGAGCTGTTTGACCGCCAAATGTACACAGGATTCCAGTCGGGCGCTCCTTTTTTATCACCTGTAAAGTAGAAGTCGAAAACGTAAATTGGAAGAGGTAATAACGTCAAAACGTTGCTTCAACTTACATCGGTAACATATTCCCTAGTGATTGGCAAAAAGTAGGTAAAATCAGCGAATCCTTTCGAAGTCTGTACGGTTGCCACGTTAGGATTAATGAGCACAGTGCGAATACCTGCTTCCCTCAAAGCCTTCAACGCCTGTAAACAAACAAATAAAGCAAAAAAAGGATAAATCTATACGTCATAAGCTGTATAAAATATTTTCAGGTTACATTGGAAGGCGGTAATGTAAAACACAGCTGCTTGTGCTGGAATTAAAAATACCTGCGCTCCAGAGTAGTCGAACTCTCCTGCCTGCCCAATAGTCAGACCACCAGATCCTAGTACTAATACCTTCTTCTGTTGCCTGATATGGTAGTTGGAATCGAAGCGAAGTGCTGTCGTTATCATGTCGTTCACACTAAAATAACGTCATGTTTTCATTCTTAAATAATTATACCGGCCATAAATCAATAACACAATGTTTCTATACCATACTTCTGGTTAGTTCTAACTCAACGATGAAGTGTATTGAGGGAAAATGCTTCCAGTTCGGTAAAAATGTTTTCAACACATAGTTCATTAACAAGAATTAATCCACTGAAAAAGCGGTATGCTTTCAGAGATAAAAAAGAATCCTACGGAACCATGACACCCACTAACCCATCGACAACTTTGCAGTTTTTTAGACAACAAGGAGTAGCTGAAAACTTGGTAAACACACAGACGAGACTTCTCCCTATCGCTCAAGCAGTTTAATATCATTTTTCTAGAACTTCGATTAAACAATGAGATTTCAAATGTAGAGAAATATTTTTAACACAAGTACAGCAGCCACAACCCAACCACGCATTCTGTTACATCACAGTGTCCTGTTGAACGGAATCCCTACTGTTCAATCGCTTAACAATGCGAGTGTCAGCAACGTAAAAGGAAAAGTAAAAAAAATAGTGGTCTCTAAAAACGCAGTACTCCACGATGACGAAATAATATTTTAACTCAAACATTGCTGGCAAATGTTTGTATATTAAAATGGTTTTTAGTTTTATTAATGAATTTCTCTACGAGATAAGATGTCCTCTTTACAAATTCGCGACCGCATGATCCATATAAGATTGCCATATACAGGCCTGAAATAATGCCTGGTTCCAATCTTAAAACTTGAACTTGAAAGTTCAATCTCACTGATCGGTGGTTGCTGATGGCACCTATAAAACACGGCTAAGAGAAAGGTGAAACGAAGACACGCATAGTGTGGCAGTGAACAAGTTAGCCCACGGAAAGAGTAATAACGGGGTTCGGTTCTCGCCGCAGACACCTACGATCCGGAATTTTGCAAATAACTCAGCATTATTGTAGTTTCACTTCAGAGCATACCCATCCATGAAAAAAAGGCTTGAATTCAATGTGAACTTATTTTCATTCAAATGAATAAACTTACTTCACTTGAAATAAAAAATGAATAAAAACAAAAACAGATATATAACTCTTTGCAAACCTCTTACTCTCTCGATGAGATCTTGATCTGTGGGAGACCGGCAAAAGCTGTCCCGTCAAAGCTCGGTTTTAATTTAATTCGATTTTAAAGGAATTTGACGATGGAATAATCCCATACACCCGCGGGACTCAGCCTCCTCTATAAGTCCCAAGTTTTCTAGTTTTTAAATAGTCCACTACCAGTAGTTACCGAAAAAACGGCACGGTCGCAAATGAGTCGAACTTGAAAGGTCAAACTACTTTCACCAGTTATGATTCAACTATAGCTTAATTGGGTTAATGAGTGCAAATGCTTTCACATCAAACTCATACCATGAGTATCACACTGGTCTTAAAAATAAAATAATACTAGGATGCTCAGATAAGAGCACAACTCAGAAACTCGAACTTTCGAACTCGCGCATCGGTATTCGAGTTCGATTTAGAATTTCCGCAGATCATTTCCGCTGATGGTCGATTACTGGTGGCACCGATAGAGTAAAAACATAGCGAAGAGGAAGGCATAGTGCCTCGGTTAGTGCAGTCGTTGAGAAGTGAGCCCCGGAAAGAATAAATGCCTGAGTTCCTGAATTTCCTCATACATCAGCATCCTTGTGCTTGTATCTCGCGTAATACCCTATCGTCAAAGAAAGAATACGCAGAAAAAATTTTTTACATGACCTGACACCACATGTTGCTCAAATCCTAGCACTTCTTCAACTCGATGCCTTCATCTCATATCCATCGACCATAATGGGATTTGGACGTGCATTTGCTGCTAGTTGAGGATTTTGGTCTTTTTTATAAATGCATTTGAATATTGATCATAGAGATTCTCGCTTAAACCTATAGCAGTGCTAGGGAGTACCCCTGTCTTTACGACGTACAGTCGCTAGCTTTGGTGAAACTTCAAGAGGCGAAGTGTGGTACCGGTTTCTCTACACAGGAAAGATGGGAGGTTAGGTCAGCTCGGAGTAAGATATGCGTTTTTAAGACTGCGACATAAATTTTGATTAAGGATTACTTATATCCATAAATCTTTAACTGATTTTTACCGTCTAAAATGTTTCGATAAAAATGTAACACACCAGCAAGCTTTCCCACTTTTCCTCAGTCGAATTGCGTTAACAAATACATCAAAAAGAAATTCGGAATCCGATGGTCCAGCAGTGTGCTCCGGATGAAATTGTACGCTAAACGACTACATGGATTCTCTAAATAAGCATCATGGCTAGAAACAATTCTATGGGATGCAAAGCAATACGAAACTGCAACCTCATTATACCTACTAGAAGTCACCTGAAAAACGGTTTCGTTGTATGTACAATGCCTTCATTAGTCTCGTCATTCTCATTCGTAAACAGAATGCGCCAGTCGTTCGGTAACGATGTTGCGTCAACCGCAAACCCGTGATTCTGCGATGTGATGAGACAGCGCCCGGTGCCACTATGCGTACATGGCTGATTGTGGCCACGGTTACCATACCTAAATATTCACTATAGGACAAAGAACTATTTATAATTTATGAAACAAGGTTCACATATATATATATACATATGTACATGTGTACACATGTGTATATATACATGTATGGATATATATGTATACATACAATGTAAAGGATAAGGGAGAAAGATCTCGGCGTTGATCAACCCCAGTGGAATACGTCATGCATGCGAGTTCATTAAGCATCGCTAGACGTGACTGAATGCATATCTGGGCTTTACAATGACTCATGGTGGTCTACTGATGTGTTGAGCCAGTGCTGCTATCCTTCCAGACAAGTCTGGTACCAATCTGCTGATCCCGGAAGGATGAAAGGCTTAATAACCTTGGGTGCGCTGGTCGATCCCATTTGTATTGCATTGCCCCTCCGACCCATACGCGCCCACGTATATTGATATATATTGAAACGACTAAGTGTTATTCTTTACAATTTTCAAATCGTACTTCAATTTGTACGTCGTGGCTCCAATCGCTCGAGCAATTAGTTGATGACCAAGACAAATTCCAAACACAGGCTTAGTAGTCTTCTTCAACAACTCAGAGAGGCGCTTTACAAGCGGTTCACACTTTTCTGGATCGCCAGGACCATTCGATAAAAATAAACCATCAAAGACTAAAAAAAATCATGAATAAATCCCAATTTTTTTCTTTTCTTCGTTAGATTTTTTTTAACATGACCCAACCTCACATATTGTGTGGATTCCGCAACTTCCTGCACTCAATTCATTTCCTCGCACCCAATAACCACAAAAATCTTCCAACTCTTGCATGTGGCTTTAGTTACTGCTTGAGGACTTTTTCGTCTCCCTGTTTCTCATCCTGTGACTGCTACGAGATTCTGTTTCCTCAGCTCGCCTTTTGACGTCTAGCACCTCTTCATCAAAAGGAAGCCAATATTATCCCATACCGGCCCTTTGCATAAAAAAATAGATACAACCGATAAAGTTATTGTAACTATAGCGCTGCCAGTTTACTGAGTGCATTCTAGAAGCTCTTCAAAAAAATGGCCCTCACACGCCCCTCCAAGAACTTGGATGAAGCACTCTCTATAAGTGTAAGCTGAATTTTCCAGGGAAAGCAGCCGCATGAACCATACCGAAACATTATCGAGGTCACAAAGTCTAAAGAGAATATGATCTTCTCTTGTATTAGCCTTCGATGAAACACAGACAGTCTGGAAACCAGTGCCATCCTGTTTGCCTTCGTTGTAAAATCACTATATAAAAAAGGTGCCTGCTGAACGCAGTAGCCATTCCAGAATGACAATACTGTTCTTTCGCCAATTTAATCATCATCCAGTGGAATACGATAGGACAGCAAAATATAATGGGCGATACTGCCGAAACGTCAGCTAGCGTTGTATTGTATTGTGTTTTTATGGAAGTAAATGTATGCTGTTTAAAAACCTCGCGATTGCTGAGCAAGAAAACGACACATTCATATTCCAATGCCGAGGTTAAGAGAAAGTCGATCCTGGGAACTATTGCAAAATATAATGTTCATCGCCACAATAAAAGGGCGTATGCAGCCACTCGTCTGACATAAAAAAGTGATACGTGCTGATGAACAACTACTCTCCAGCCTTCCTTTTACCAATGATATTAACGTTATCATGAACTCCACCGCAAAACAGACATTTGCCCAGTTCAAGGGTTCAAGAAAAAAGATATGACCAAGGTAGGAATGAACCAAAAGCGATCCCAATACATGACAAACTCTTGGTGTGAAGGAAAGCAGATTATACTGAATGAAGTGCAAATTGAGGATAAGTAGATTGGAAGACGAATAGTGCCCTCATTTACTTGCTCTCCTAGGTACGTTCTGTGCAACAGAAAATATGCTAACACTTCAGCCACGCTTAATAAGTTCCGTACACTAGACAGGATACTGAAGCGATGTTTATGAAGATGAAACAATGTTCTCAAACATAGAACACGTTTCAAAAATATATATGGATGAGCCGGTGACATAAGAGAGACAAAGGCGAAAGTCTAATAAGAAAAACATAAGACAGGGTCTCTAACAAAATCAAAACTACGCCAAGATAGCCTCTAAAACGTTGACCCGATGTGCTTTTGCACGTACAGGCTAGCTCCATTAACGGTCAAAATTAATTTCCAACGAAGGCGGTTACAATGCAGTGAAATGAATGAAAAAACTAAGACCCGCGCAATATGTGAAGACGTGTCATCTAAATATTTAAGTAAAAACTTTGAACAAGCAAGTTTATAGAGCTAAAAATTCACCTTCATTTTCAATTGGATGGTTCCACGGAACAATTGCCACGCGTACACCGCGCTCCACTAGGCAACGAATCTGATTATTCTTCATTCCGCAGTCCACGGCTAGTACGGTTACGTCTCCAGTACCAAATGTAACTGGTGTCTAGAATATACGAAAAATAAAAAACCAGTAGCAGCGTAATTTATCACTGCAAAACGGCACATCAGTTTATAAGCTGAAAAAAGTGTCACCTTTCTAGAAACAACTGCAACCAAGTTTCCCTCATTGATATCACGAAATTCGTATTTAGATGCGTCGTCGCTGTCAATGACTAACTAAAACCCAAAAAAGACAATCGACAAAAGGTGTTAAAAATACCATCCAAATCCTTTTAAAATGCTTCATTTAGAGAGAAAAAATAAGAAGAATATTACGACAAGAAGTTTATAACAAGCAACCTTTGCCTTCATTGTTCCTTGTTCACGAATTTTCTTTGTCAGCATTCTTATATCAATCCCAGATAACCCTGGAACTCCAGCTTTACGCAGTAAACTGGTTAGCGACTCCACTGCTTGCCAATGGCTGTGTTCATTTTCTGGACAAATCCTTAAAGGAGGTCAAAATACATGCGCAAAAAAACGTTTTCCCAAAGAGACACATAAAACTTTTGTCGCATAGAAAAAGACTTGTTAATAAATTAATACAAATAAATTTCGAAAATATTCACCATTAGCACAAACCTACGGTGCCCTACACCACATATATATACAGCCCGACATAAGTCCATTTCAACTCAGAAGTGGTCGAATAAATCTGCACTTCTCGATTTTAAACAAACATTTCAGATTACCAAGAAAACACTGATATATCAGGTTCGATATAACAGCCAAAAATGCCTAATGAATACAAGCAACCAAATCCTAGAATGGGTTCAGTGAGTACGACTATCTATATATGAAAGTTATAGCTAGAACTATATGTTGCTTTAAAAAGCACATAGCATATACGACCAGCAGCTTCTGCTTGGGTAATGTATACAACCTCGTTACCCGTCTCGGCATAGCAAGGCTACCCCACCTTTCAACATGCAGAGGGGTAATCGCCTGTTATCACCTCAGTCTATTCGAACTTGAACTATCTGTTATAGTTTCCCAATAAAAGATGAAGCTTTTAGCCTTCATCAATCCCTGAAGGAAGCTCCATGCATTCGACTTCATTAAGCATCGTTAGAGATGAATGAATGCATAGCATACCTTACCTATACATTGACTCGCGGTGGTATATCGATATATCGAGTCAGAGCTGCTCTTTTCCCGGACAGGTCTAGTAGCAATTTGCCGACCTCGAAGGGATGGAAGGTTTGATAAGTCTGCGAGGAATGATCCCTGTATTGCAAGGCGCCTCTACGCACTGCGCTACAAGCGCCCTACGGCTTCTTACCCACACTAATACCACTTTTTTCCGTTAGCGGAACTTATAAATGCACTAAAATTATTACAAATAGTTTGACCATGATATAGACAAAAGGTTTCACTAGAAGTTCTGGTCAATTAATGGCAAAGGGTAATGTAGGGTGAAGCGTGTGGCGCAGTGGTCGGAAGCTCTCTGCAATACACATGTGGAATCGATACCCGCCAACAAAGCCTTCAATCCCTCAGGAGTCGGAAAATTGGTGTCAGACTTGTCTAGGAGGATAGTAGCACCGGCTCGATACATCGGTAGGCCATCGCGAGTCATCGTAAAGGTCAGGGGTATGCATTCAATCACATCCAAACGATGCTTAATGAAGTCGAATGCATGGCGCATCCCTCAGGGATTGATCAACGTCGAGAGCTCTTTAGCTTTCAATGTACTACGTTAATTTATACTAACCTATCCACAATTAATGCTGCTGGCCAAATTCGAGTACTTTCGAAGACATATGGCAGTCCTTGTGAGTCCATGGAGTCTTGGCTTGGCACTCCATAGTTTCCGATCATAGGATACGTCAATGTAAGAAATTGTTCGGCGTAACTGGGATCCGTAAGAGATTCTACGTAGCCCATCATACCCGTTTGAAACACTGAAAACTTCTAAAATTATTCCAAGTCGTTTACAAACAAAAAAGAATGAAAAACTTCTAGATAGAAGCGTAATAAACTTGATCTATCTACACATCCAGCCTTTTTGTTGTAAGAAATAAACTTAAGCAACTATCTCTATCAACAGAATTAGTAACAAAACAGGATGTAACAGGACATTTCCGAAACAACAATATACTGGAGGCCAACTTTGTCGGGTATACGTCACAACTAGCATGTAAATATGCCAGCATTTAAAAAACAGTATTTTTTAAACTAAATCCAGCAAAACCTTTTGTTATGCCAAAGGGCTAGGAAAACGCTTTTTGAAATTATGCAGAGTTTCAATAAAAAGAGCTTCGAAATAGTCGAAATGACCACTTGTGCTCAGATCCAAGAAACTGTTTTGAACATTCTAACTTTGCTCAAAGTTTGTACAAATAGAGGCCAATGGCTGATGTTCAACTCTGTGTTACACGCCAAAAAAAACCGGCTGAATACTATTTTATCCTAAAAAGGTGAAATTTAGCAGATCTTTCCATAATTATCTCTTGGTTTTCTTTACACAAACGTATTACCCTGAACGTTGAAAGAATACACCTACCTCCCATCCTATGTTTATATCGCCATATTAACCGCTAGTTTTTCTTTTTATTAAACACAATTTTTCTGGGACGCACAGATGATGGAAATTTTACACAGAATTCTCAAAATTCGAACACTATTCGATAGTTGCAATGTATCCCCCTTGAGATAAATGAAGCCTGCAAGAGCATCTGAGAACACTGGACTCATCTCATACCAGCACATTTACTTGATTATCGAGATAAGTACGATGCTACCCGAAAGCCGTCCCCTTTTACAAAAATAGACACAGCAGAAATTTTAAACGCGATTTTTTTCTCCTTGAATTACGCCACATGAGACATAATAGGCACTACTCTAACAGATCAAAAGTTGCCAGATTTGTATAAAATTCAGAGTTCCCTGTAAAGAAAAAAGTCAAAATAAAAATAAATGGAGCTAAAACATATAGAAGAGCACCTAGTTAAGAAACTTGAAGCAAAACAAAACATTCCACTAAGACAAACAAAGGACTTAAAAACATAATGGAGAAGAACTTGAAATGAAAGTCGCTATCCTCACAGGGGAATCGAAAAGATCAGCGTAGAGCGTAAAACGCTCGAATCGTTTTAGATAAATTCCAAAAATCCAGAAGTGAACCGCAACGAAGAGTGCCTTACGATCATATGTGTCCTCGTCCCATACCTCACGCTGATTTTTTGACCTGATCCAGGCATATTCCTCACCTATGCAAGACTCTCTATGCTTGGTCTCCAATAATATTTGGAAGACTTATAAAGAACGAAACGGTAAGTAGTTTTCAAACTGACTGCCATTTAACCTTGGTAGTAACAGTCAATACCATCTTGGATTGTTCATCTTACACGGAATTGTTGTATAACTTTTATTCGGCTAACGTTTCGACGTTTTCGTTTTCATCAGAAACAATGATCCGAGTCCATACTTTACAGATGAAGAGAAAGACGTCGAAACGATAGCCGAACAAAACTTATACAACAACCTCGTGTAAGATTAACAATCTAAGAAGGTATTAAAACGGTGAATTATTAAAAGAATCTGTTTGCTACACGAAGGCAATCCATTCATTGAGTTTTTACTGTTTGTGTTTGACAGTGTTTAGTAGAATTGATTACGTGTTAATTTGGCCTTTGCGGGTTCTGAGGAATGCGGAAAAGCCAAAACGTCAGCCATTATTGAACAGATCTTGTTATTTACAACCTCTCATGTATACTCAAAAAGAAAACACTAAAAAGTGAAACCTTTAGAAATAGTAAGATAAAGATATTAAAGTTGATTTTTCACTCGACAGAGGTATTGTTCAAAAACTTACCAATCTCACCAACCACACTTTTAGTGGCACCGAAAAGTTGACCAACGTATGATGAGCCGTCGTCAAGATACAGAGTGGCCTTCATTGTTTCCCAAGGCATTGACATACGGTGGGAAATCGTTCTGCTGAATATTCACCATTGAAAAGGAACTGGACACCGAAAATGATCAACTACAGACATATGTGACAAGGTAAAGTTAGAACAAAAAACACTAGATCGATAACCTACTGCACTAATTAGGTACATTAAGCTGCGATCAATGACCTATAAATAAGGGTAAAAACAAAATGAAACACTGGAAAATGTAATAAACTGTCCCATACTATGCTTTATTCCTGAAGCTATCCACGATTACAAACAGAGGGCAAATACTCTCCTGGCAAAAGTGGGAAAAAAGGACATCATACGAACAGTGTGATGCGGCTCTGTGCAGAGCGAGCTCAGCCCAATAAACTGCAGAGGTGTGACGGGAACAAATGTATGGGAGCAACGCCTCCAGTTACTCGGTGATTAGAGTTACGATTACGAGTTATTATCGAGTACCATAAGCCATCTAAGTTATACCAAAGCACTGAAAAAGGACTACACAGTAAAGGACACTTGAAATGGCGCAAGAAACGAGGTAACCAGACCAGTTCCGAGGCCTTCCTACGCGCAAGATTGAAATGACTCAAAGATGGTGTAAAACTAAACGACTATAAAAACACGAAAAGAACTGAATTTCAAAATAACAGTGAGACTTCAAAAACCACAAAATGCGGAAAACAGAACAACGAGGAAGATCTCAGAAATATATTTAAAAATACTCAGTGGAAGACTCATAGGAAGCTGTGAGTGTGCAAAGAAGCTATTCTCTGTTCAATGTGATTGAAATCTTGGTTTAGCGATTTCTCTGTTTGGTTATGGAGCTGTTTGGCCAAATAGATTTCAGTCAACTTGACCTTTCCAGGCTCTGAGGAAGGCGAAATCGCCGAAATGTCAGTCATCGACCAACAACACCAACAAGAACGACAACGACAACGAAGACCTACACCAACCTCGCATCAGCTAAAGAAGATCAGTTTATAAGATCATGTAAATAAATATATCAACTATCTATACCGAGGTTTATAGAAAGTCGATCTTTTGAATGAAATAACATTTAGAGTCATGAAGTGATACCAATGTACACTCCATCTTTGTATCAAGTAAACGTGAAAAACTATTAAAAATACTGAGCATCATTCCCATCGGGATTTTAAACCCATTCATTCCGTGCGAAAATGCGAATCCTAGCACCGCAGTCCAAAACAACGCAACCAGCCTAACGCCATCGCTAACTTAAAATCGATCAATATTGCCATACAGTACAATTCGGACAAATTGGGAAAAACAACAATGTCGTTTCGAGGAATACTTCCGTTCCATGGACTATACAAACAACAAAGTGCAGGAAGACAATATATTTGGGAAAGCAATGAGGCTCACTTCGCGACCTATTTTCATTCAACGACTGGTGACCCCAACTTCTTTACCATGATGATGTTCACATATTTGCAAAACTCCGGACCGCAAGTGTCTGCGGTGGGTATCGACCCTCTAATACCCTTTCCGGGAGCTAATGCGTTTATCACCACACCAGGTGGACCTTTGGCTTTGCGTCTCTCTCATGAAGTTTATTGTTACCTTCATATTCTATTCGACATTTCTTGCAAATTACAACATGTTCACTTTACGTAGCAAATCCCAGGACCGACTCTGTTTTAACCACGACCTTGATCAATAACTCACAGTTTTTCTTGATGAACAAACACGAGATTGTTATTACAGCATCTATCAAAGTACAGTAGTTGACGTTTCAGTGGTTTCGCTTTCTTCAGGGTCTGGAAGGGTCAAATTGACATGCAAACCACCCAGCCAAACTCTTTCATAACCACAGCAGCTAACACTTCTTACATAAATTTTCATCCTCATAAAAAAAAGCTCCTTTAAAACAATACCCCAGTTCGGGTACGTTCTGTCTATTGTAGTCTATTTTATCTGATCCCTTGTAAAGCGTACGGGGACGAATATATCGGCGAAATGGCTGGATCATTGTGTATCCGTATAAAAGAATACCTAGTCGGTAAACTTAAAGCTAAACCAAGTACTCTACTAGGGTAACACATAGGGTACAGAGACATAACGGGAAAGATTTTGAAGTAAATCCTTGCAAGGAATCGAAAACACCAGACCCCCCAAAACCCTCGAAGCATGTCGGACAAATTCCAAAAATCCAAGAATGAACCGTAAGGAGGAATTCCTTATGATCTTGCGTGACCTCACCTCATACCTTAGACTGATTTTTTATCCTGAGCTAGGCACATTCCTAGCCACTGTAAGACTTGGTGTGGCTGGTCTCCACTAAATAACTGAGAAGTTTAAAAAGAATGAATCGGTGACTCAACACCTTAAGATCCTAAGACGGTGAGTATTTAAAGCAAGCTGCTTATTGTACGAATAAAAAATTATGTGTTAAGTTTTGTCTGATGAGGTTGTGGTGTTCGGCTGGGTAGTGTCAGTTTAAGCTTTCCGGGGTCTGAAGAAAGCGAAACCGCAGAAACGTCAGTTAATGAAGAATCGATAAGTGCTGTAATAACAATCTCGTGTTTGCCCATCAACAAAAACATGTTTACTTTCCTTATTGTTATGAAATATGAAGGTAACTCATGTGTTCTTAAAGGAATGGATCTCGAAAGTTTTAGCGCATAAATTAGCCAACAACAAAAGAAAAATGAATGGATGTACGAGCCATATCTACGATAAGACTGTCACGGTGACTGATAACCAGCATCATGCGAAATCATCATCATCATCCCTCTCTGATCCACAAGGGCGGTTACTGTCTGTGATGGTGACGATATGGAGCAGACTTTGGCTAGTCTGACCTCATAGGACTCCACAATGTCTAACTCAGCAAAACTCCGAAAAAATGGAAACTATGCTGTGACTAGAACAACCAGTGAAGACGGGTCATCCAAGTATACAAGTAGGTATCGTGTGAAATACCACCACAGTGATGCTGGGGTATTTGCAAAACTCGAACTAACTAGTTAACTGGGTTCAATGCCGATTTGTGCTCCCCAGAACATTCCCATTGACGTGTGACTGCATGAATCCTTGGAAAGGGTAATCGCAGGTTCAAAGCTGGTCTGTAATCCAAGTTTTACAAACATCTTAGCACCACTGTGGTTGTATTTCACCAAATATCCTACCATGAGAAAAATAATAGGCAGTAACTACAACGATGCTGAGATATTTGCACTCTGATTGCTGATGGCAAAAGATCGATAGAACTAGCTGAGAGACAGGAAAAACGAAGGACCCGGATGGTGTGGTGGTGAAGTGCGCTGCTCCCCGGTAAGGACAACATCGCGTGTTCGTTCCCCACCGCATACAACTGCGGTCCGGAGTTTTGCAAATATCTCAGCATCGTTGAAGTTATATTTCACAATGAATACTCTGCCGTTAAAAGAGTGGGCAGTAAATAATAAGTTGAAATAGGCAGTAAATAAAAGTATAATTACTATAATGCTGAGATATTTCCAAAACTCCGGGCCGCAGGTGCCTGCGGTGGGGAACGAACAAACTATTGCCCTTTCCGGGGAGTAACGCGTTCACCACCACACTATTCAGGTCCTTTATTTCGCCTGTCTCTCACCTAGTTCCATCGATCTTTTGCCATTAGCAATCACCCGTCAACCGGACTGATCTGGGGAGCCCAAACCGGAGCTTTGCAAATATCTCAGCATTATAGTAGTTGTATTTCGCAATATACCCTGCCGTTAAAAAGAATAGGCAGTAAGTAAAAACGTTAAGATAGTAAATAAAAAGTTAAGCATTACCAGTTGGGTACGAATGATCGAAAAACGACGTCCCCTAGGTGGAAAGCGGACGATTTTAATAAAACGATCAAATATTACTATGACAGCATACCGAATAAAAATAGAGGACAAAGTTCTCGGCGCTGATCAATGCCTTAGGGATGCGCCATGCATTCGACTTCACTAAGTATCGTTAGAGGTGATTGAATGCATATCTGGCCCTTACAATGACTCGTGGTAGTTTACCAACGTATAGAGTCAGTGCTGCTATTCTCCCAGAGAAGTATGATACCAATTTGCCGAACTCGGAGGGATGGAAGGCTCAGTGACCCTGGGGCGCGGTGATCGATCTCATGTGTATTGCAAGGCACCTCTGACCACTGCGCTACGAGTTTAGTTTCTTTTAGTGAACCGAGACTTTCAATGAACTATACTGATGATAACACGACTGGTGCAAATAGCAGGAATTAACTTAGAACACTGGTAGTTATGCAAATACCGTTCTAAGCGCTTTGGCTTACTCCATCCACGAGTAATGTGTCGTTGACCACCCATGAGCCCAGTAGATCGCAACTGCATTGAACGGCACACTAGTAACTGATAGTTGGTTAATTTCACAAGAAAAAAGGCTCCCTTATAAACCTATAACCTGAATTCGACATGCTCCACGCCACTCAGTAGCGTTGGTAAGCAACTACGAAGAATTCTGTTAGAAAACAAAACTTACAGTGACTTAAGTAGATGAGAAAACAGGATAAAAAAGCAAGGAAGACAATCTCAAAAAGCAAAAAATCTAGGGAGAAAAGACTCATTGTTCCGGACTTTCAATTCCGTTGAAAGCACGAAAAACTACTAAAGAGACGATAGAGTGAAGAATAGGAGCCAGAGCGACTGACTAATAAAAGGTTATGAAATGAAGGTCAACATCTCTACGTCAATGAAAAGAAGAAAGGAATCGAACTCGGTAGGAACGCTCAATTTACACCAGAATTCGCTCAGGACTGGTATAACCAGTAACATAAAAGGTGATAAGGACCAATTACAACTTTCTTTCCATGAGAAGAAACCACTATGAATGAAGTCACACGACATCAGACAGAAATGAAATTTCGTAAAAGAAAGTCCTAAATTAAACACGCGGGTTATAGGAACCCGCCATTACCCGATCGCAAACGTCCACCAGAAGCGGATTGGAGCAGATTAGACGACGTTTCGGTGCCTATACTAATATTGTATTTATTACAACTGTATCTCAGGCTTTTCTGCATGTGTATGTACAAGCACCTCTCTGCAAGGGTTCTTGGATAGACGGTTAACCACTTCTAGGCAGTTCAGTCGCATTATTCATAAGTAGAACTTTTTGGTCCTTTAACAAATGTACGTGAATAAACCATGTAAGAACAAAAAGAAAAGCACAGTTTGTCAGGGCTAAGAAGCAACGGAATGACTTTAAGAGAAAAATCCTAAGGAATACTCGTTGAACATCGAGTGGCGACTCGCTTAACCAAATTAGCATCCAGCGTAGGGCGATTGTGATGGTGAAAGGACAGACGGAGGGGAAAGCATTAGCAATAGAAATCATCACCCAAGCACGGCTACAGTAACCGTTCACGGTCCGATTGTAGGCTGTAATACGGGCAAAGATCGTACTTCTATGAATTTGTTCACAGCAGTAAGAATAGCAAAGCAATATTCTCAAAATATCTGCTTAGTGGTGCCGCGACGCAGAATCGAACCACGGCCTCGCTTGTAGTGCATTCGGGGCAGGCAACAATAACCACTGCTCTGCACACGCCTAATAAACGAAGGGATGGCTATAAGAGTAATCATAGACTCATGACATAAATTGCAGTGTCGTCGATTAGAAGAACTGGTTCGCAACTCAGGTGAGCTATTCTTCATAGAACTCAAACCACCTCTAGGCATTGCGCTACACACACCCACTTTATGGTTTATAATTCCAAGCACAAGATTAGTGATGTAGACCACGTCGGTATCTCAATTCATGAACTACTCTTAGAGGCAATACGACAGTTCTATTCAGGGATTTGAATGCTTCATTATGAGTGTGCGCGCGTGTGGCGCAGTGGTCTGAGGTGCCCCGCGATGCGCACATGGAATTGATCCCAACGCCCACGGCCCAACAAGCCTTCCATCCCTCCGGGGTCGGCAAATTGGTACCAGACATGTGTGGGAGGATAGCAGCACTGGCTGGATACATTGGTAGGAACGCGAGTCATTGTAAAGGCAAGAAATGCATTTAATCACCTCCAACGATGCTTAATGGAGTCGAATACATGGCACATCCCTCGGGGATTGATCAACGCCGAGAGCTTTGGAGCTTAGAGCCTTCACCACGAGTGTTGGTAAAGGTGGGCACATGTGAGTGGTGTTTTCTGGGAGTTCAATCAGGATTTACGATTTTTGCAACTTGTTCCACAACCACTTCTATCTATATTTTCAAAAACATCTCTGCCATCTTGAGTCAGTCACTTCAACGAAATCCTGCTAGACATAGGTTTCCTTAAGTTCCTTTATTCACAGATTTTCTCATGTATACGAATACTTACTTGATACTTGATACTTAAACGGCCCGTCCTCACTAGTTGTGCGGGTACTAGAATAATCACCATTTTTTGGAGATTTGCTGGTTAAGCCATTATAGTTCCCTGCAATCCCGAGGTTAGCCTGGCCAAAGTCTGCCCCAGGTCGTTACCACGACACGCAGTCGCAGCCCTCGTGGATCAGGGGGAGATTTGCCACTATGCGACTTTGGTGCCAGAGCGGTGGTAGGTCCTGGTATTGCTTTACTCTTAGCTAGGCTTCCTGACGGAAACGCCGGACTCCTTCTCGGCTTGGGAAACCGTGGCGGGGGCACGAATCCCTCCGTTGTATGTGCATCACAGTCCGACACCCAGGAACACCTCTCAGTCACGATGAGGGGATAAACCGTTGGGAGGTACATGAATACAGTTTATTCAAAGGATTCATTCCATTTTAAAATGCTTTTTATTGTTAACAAGTAAATGTCGTGAGCTGGTAGGAACTATAAGAAACTCCTACTCATATAGACAAAAACAGTATGGTTTTCTATTGCATTATTTCTTTCCGGATGGACTGGCTGTGGCTAACCGTTTGTTTGCTTTGTTGTTCACAATACCAGTGATGTCGACAAGAATAAGCGAATCCTAGAAAAAAGAAAACTCAGAAGCACTGGATTTAAGTGCTAAGTATCTGATAGATTTGCTGCCCGTATATTAATTAGTTACGCCGTCACCCTGCGTGGATGCCCGTCTTCACTAGTTGTCTGTGCATCAGCATAATTTCCATTTTTTCGGAGTTTTGCTGGCTTAGCCACTGTGGTTCCCTGGATTGCCGAGGTCAGTATAGCCAAAGTCTGCACCAGGTCGTCACCACCACAGACAATCGCCGCCATTGTGGATCAGAGTTAGATTCGCCACCATGCGACTAGTATGGACGAATCCTGGTATTAATTTACTTTAAGAAGGGCTTCCTGATAAAATCAAAGCGCCAAGCTCCTTCGCAGCTTGGGAAACACTACCAGGGGATGAATCCCACCGCTGTACATAGCAGTCCGACACCTACGAACAACTCGCAGCCATGATGAGGCGGAAAGCCGTTAGGAGGAAAGTCGAGCGTCCGTATATTAGTTTGCATAAAATTTTATTAGTTACAACGGAAGCTCTACTACAAGGAATCTTGGCCCGAAGTTAGTGGATTAAGTTCATCTCACCTTCTTGTACCAACTGTTTGAACCGAGAAAGAAATCGACGTATGTCTCGACAATCCCTAACAATCCTCTCCTATGGATTTACAGCATTCTTGTATCATTGACAAGTATGGTAGGTTTTCAGTCCAGAAAATTAGAGGTGTGGAGGAGTTGGAAAGTGCAGTCTGTGCCGCACAGTTGTCTAGTTTTCATTCATACTGAAAATCACTTCACCTTAGTGATGCCTATTTTGTCCACGGGAGTTTGTATAAGTTTTGGGTTAATTTCCAACTGTTTTTCTTCATCGGAATCTCGTCGAAAGTATCCATACACCTTAAATGCAACGACTCGTTATTGTCATAGAGTACACACCGCATTCTGTGCGTTCGATTTAAGGATTTACGGTAACATCTTACATCGGTTGATATTGTCCTAGTCTTGGAGAAACCTATCTGCTACATGTTACTACTATGCTCAAATACCATTGTCGAGCAATGCGAGTTATCCTTGGATCCTACTACGCAAAAACAATGGAAAATAGAGCGTATCATACTGGAAAATTTGATGCTCTTCGTGTCTAACGAGGAAGGAGAGACCCTTGAACAACTCGGACTCATGATACTGCAATATGGCCGGTACCTTACTTTATCAGTGTTCATAATCTTCAGCACACGTCGAATTTCACGAATTAGATCACCGAGTGGACCGCCCTTGACAAACTCAACAGGCATCTGATTCTCTTCGTCTTCGCAGAAGCACACCTTCAAAGCATTCGTGTCATTCTTTGTTGGAAGCACAGACATATGAAAGTTCATATCGTTAACGTTGTAGGATAGGACTTTCACAGCGTTCCAAATTGTATCCGCTATTTTTCTAGGCATGTTAAAAGGATAATTCAAAGCTGCGGACAGATTATCATGTAAACTCTAACAGAACTCTTGACGAAAACTAAATTCTTGTTCATACTGGAACTGAATGGGAACCACAGAGATGATGTTTGACTAGTGGCTTATAATTCCTACATGGATTTCTTCCAAGGTGAAACATAGAGAAGATGCGCATCGACTAGGCGAGCGTTTCGTGCGATTTTCGCTGCCCTATCTAAATAGGTCACCGTTCGGTTCCTACTCGTACTTCCAGCCAGGTTGGCATCTGATAAGATTGGACGGTTCGGAGTGCGCGCTGCTGAGAATTTAAAGGAACACATAACAAAAAGCTGTGACAGAAGTTATCTACTTTCTATTTCGTTTGTTTTCTCTTTTAATTTCCTATGAGTTGTTAGCAAAGTCTGCTTTAGTTTCGTTCTCAAAATTTAAACCTATGAGCTAACCTTTAATTCAAGCTTCTCCAGTCTCGATTTTCGATGAATTGCCACAGGCTGAAAAAATTGCACTCCAAATGTTACTGCATTTCTCTCTGTAAAATCAAAATCGAGATCGAGCTTTCAAGAGTACCGAGGATGTACACCCGACTCTCTTGTTGAAAGCGCAGTCGAAAGGACGATGCTAGGAGTATCCCGGGTCAGATAAGTAAGGGAAGGGATCTGAAGCTCCGACCTGCGTCAACGATCAAAATGCAAAGATGCCGTCCTGTACGCCAAGCAGTCGAAGATAGGTGGGCCGGACACGTAATGCGTATGAATGACAACCGATGGACAAAAGCCGTTAGGGACTGGATTTCTCGTGACGTCTAACGTACTGCAGGAAGACCGCCAACTCGATAGTCAAAGTTCTTCACAAAAAGCCTAGAAGAAAGGTATGATGCTCAACGTGTTCCTAGAGCGATCAGAAGCCACTGGGCTACTCTTGCACGCGACAGAGAAAAATGGAAGATTTACCGGAGCCCGCCCGAGTCACTCGACGATTAGTGGGAGTACAGGTGATGAAGCTGAGGATCAAAGTATTACTGCTATGCAACTGAAAGAATACACTGTAATTTCTGGAGCAATCACTGTCAAAGATTACTTATCAGCTCTTATTGGTCATCAAGTTCGAGAGTTTTTCATATTACGTGATAGAGGACAAAAAACAGCGGGTATTTCTCCAACCAACACGAAGACTTCTTCTCTAATAAATATTTCTTAAAAGAATGGACACACGCTTCTAAACGTTGGGTCATTCTTGCCATAAGTAAACTTCTTTGGACTTTGTTGTTTTTGTAAACAGGGTGAAGTCAGTCATTTGCTATGTCGACCCCTATATAACATTGTACACAGACGGATCTGATGTCACGATCCGCTTAGCTATACTGTTCTTGATCGATCTGTGGACTAACTTCAGGAATCGTTGCCATGCTGGAAGAATGCCAGAGGAAAGCAAATCTTCTGACCCACGAAAGTCGGCGATTGCCTGCGGTAACTGAGCACGACCTATCACGACTGCTACTTTCAGTGGATACCTGGGAGTACTCCATAATGGCCATTTTGGGACACGCAGAAAAGCCCGTGCTTGCAAGCACTCAACATTTCTTTAGAGGAAGGAATAGACGAACGATAGTTGAAGCGTAGTCGAAATATAAATGAACAATATTTTTGTTTATTGACGAACTTACACGCGCTTGTTATAAATCTTTATTATAGCTGACGTTTCAGCGGTTTCGCTTTCATCAAAGCCACGGTGATTCGAGTCGAGTGTCCATATCAGTTGTTCTTCATTGTTTTGTTGTTCTTCCTTGCCGTCGCATCGAGACCGGACCTCAATGTTTGCTTTACTAAATGCCAGTCAAAACTAATCCGACTGTTGCAGGACGGATTGTCACCAAAGATGCAAATAATTTCGGTCGAAAATTGTCCAAGAACCGTCCTACATCATGTCAAAGTGGAAGATGAGGTCAGATTACTTCAATATGGCTAGAATCCTCTATTTTAGGGCAGCGCTGGGGACGCCACTTTATTCGTACTGTGCTTCACTCTAGTTGATTTGTTTCAAAGCGATGGGAACTAAGGCTAACGGGTAACAACTACTGTGGACAATCGACTCGAATCATCGTGGTCTTGTTGAAGGCGAAGTAGACTAAATGTTGGCCGTAATAAAGATTTATAACAACGCTGTATAAACTCGTTAATAAACCGAACATTGATCATTCATACTGAGGTTCAGTGAAGGTCTGATTTGAATATAAATGGAAATCTGACGTACTGTAATCGTGTCATCTTTTAATCCCTCCATCGAATAGTGTGACTCAAGATCAAAACGACCAAAGTAAGCAGCACGTTCCGGAAACATGGCTTTCAGTGCAAGCACCGATTCGCAACGATACGGTAGACGACATGCTTCGTTAGGACAAAGCGGTGGTGTATCTGAACGTTGACAATGTTGCACAGTAGGACATTTCTAACAGTCACCTATGGTGAACTTACTGCTATGTTCGCATTCATCCAACGTTTTTGACAAACAATTTATACACACTTCATGTTCGCACTCCATTTCAGAGGGAAAATTACGAAGAACTTCCCCTTCGCAATCCGGTAGTCCGGAACAAGGCGTCTTGATCTGAAATATAGCACGTTAAGTCAGAACAGCTTAATCTCGTCAACCATTGATTATATCGGGTGGGAGGATATTAGTAATGTTACCATTTGTCTCCTCACACCGCTCCATAACTTCTTCGTGGGCTGCACTCGTTCAGCTTACAGGGTTTATCTCACGCATTAAGTCGTAAACCATTTAACGTTGCTCATGCAAGCAATAAGGTACCCTGTTACTGTTAGCTGGGGGTTGCTGTGGAATAGATTCAACCTGAAGCAGGCTGCCGTATAATATTAATGAATTATTTCAATGTTTGAGCAATCTCAGGAGAGGCTATGACCTGAGAAAGATAAGGCACTCGGCGTTAATCAATCTTTGAAAGATGCGCAATACATTCGATTTTAACAAGCACCGAAGAGGTGGTTCTATTTGTATCCGTCTTATATAATGAATAATGGTAGCATATTGATTTATTAAGTCAGTGCTCTTATCCTGACAGATTACTCTAGCACCAATTTGGAGTCTACAGATGGACGAAAGGGTTCGTGAGCCGGGGCAAGGGATTGTGCTAATCGTATCTTTCTTGACTACTAACTACTTGCCATAAGTCGCAGTTCTACACCGAAAAAGAGCAGACAGAATATGGGATGGCATAAGAAAATTTTTTAAAAATGAGAAGGAACCGAGAATACAAACCACAGGAGTGTTCCGCTTGCCTTTCTTCGATTTCGAGCCGCCTTTTTGAAGGCAGTTACCGGGAGGACACGTCCCTTTGCCGTCAGTCCATTTCTTAGCACATGGCTGGCACATATACACCTACAATAAAAGTGACTAATCAACAACAGAGAGCGTGTTTGGATTTGTCTATCTTCTGGAACGTGTTCTACTGATTTGTTGTTCACACACCCTAAGAGAGTTTCATACAATTCAATACAGCATAGTCGCTTTGAATTAGGTTGGATTGCCATCTCATTCTAGTGAACATTTACACTAACAAATCAATGAAATGAACAAGAAAGCGTGGCAGTACAGTATTGCAAGTCGCGTTTAGCGAGCAATTCTTTAGCAGAGCACTATGGAGTAGCTAATTGTTATCAATGAAGATTTGCTCACAAACTGATAATGTTCAGCCTAAGGATCGCGCTTCCCTTTATCGAGTCAATGGAAGTACTACTAATGTGAAACATATGGATTATCAAATTCTCTGTAGCACCACAAGCAGCTGAAAAGAAAATGCATAGGACGTAATGCATTCTGGACTTTGCACTACACCCAAACCCTGTACTCTACACGTGCGTAACATAGAGTGCCCCTTAGGCGTTATGTGTTGTATGTAGCCGATTGCTACGCGTATGCTTCGAGATATTTAGCAAGGTTAGCCTCATTTGTATTCTAAGGACTCCACATGAAACGCAACCAGCAAATAAAATCAGATCCACGAAAGAGGTCTGTGAAGAAAACGGCCCCGGAATCGTCGAGGTCCTGAGAAAACACTTTACACCATTCTTGCTATTTTATGGAAGGGAATTTGACACTAGGGGAGGGTAGCACAGTGGTAGGCACGCCGACCATCACTAGTATGATGCTGGTTCGGTATCGCTTCTGGCTGACCTGGTTTCTCATCCCTTCGGGGTCGGCGAATTAGTACCGGACTTGTCTGGGAAAAAATCACTCTCTACATTCAAGTGGGAACGTTCTAGCCCAGCTATCTCAGGACTCCAGGGAGAGTCAACTCGACCAGCATTCAACGACATTTATGATGAAAGGAAAAATTCGCATGCGGCAGCCGAAGCCACGCGTAAAAGTTGGAAGATCTTTGTGGATGATGGATACCAGGAAACGAATCGAATGTGGACCGCGCTGAGATGCGCACAGTTGATGTGAAAGACAGGTCAACTAAAAGAAGGTTTGACAATATTGGCACAATACATACGATGTGCGGTCGGCTTTATTGGGAACAATGCACCAATTGTGGATGAAGGAGTACTCTAGTCGTTTACTTCAATGCTTTGTGAATGTCAGTACACTGCGGCAGTTAAGCCTTTTCACTGCTTCGACCCGATTCTTATCGAGAAGAATCGCAAGAAAAGCGAAATGTGGTCAAAGCCACCAATGAAATCATTCGTCATTGGCATAAATCAACGGGATATACAGCTCTGCACTCTCAAAGCCAAAAGTGATGTTTCAGTTAAGCCACTATTTGACCCGAGTCAGACCTTCACTTTCGGTCAGGCAAGGTAGGAAATAATAGTTCCACTTCATTCTACACAGTGAAAAAGATTTCCACATAGGTATTTCACTAAGCGAATGCTCTGGTGATGAATAGTTCCGCCGCTGTCCCTACAAAGATCTCACTAAATTGATACCCCATTGTCAGTGGAATTGAAGAGGTGACTTTTGGGTGTTTTGGGTTTTAGACACGGTAAAGCTTATGTTACTTAATTTATAGTTTATTTTTTTCACGTTACTCTGCATCGGTGGTTTTCAGTGGTGATTGGATTCGTGCGTGAGTTGGCTGCGACCGGCTAGTGGTACAATCTTCTCCGCTCATGGGCTCATCGAATGGTGGTCGAGCATAATTTTCCTAAGAGCCCGAAAGTAGCTATACTAAGACGTGTTGCCAGCTTCTCACAAAGCTTGTGGACTGAATACTAGGATATCAGAGAATGTTGTAACGTTAGCGAATCCCGCAATTTGTTGACAAACAGCTCGAGGACGATGCAACAAGTCGATTCAGGTCACAGCAGTGGAAAAAGAACCTGCACAAACTGTTTAGTGATTATCGGCAGCATAACTCAGGTCAATACACATGCTACCAATTATTGCCGACTTTTAATGAGTTTACAAAAAATGAATGCAGTAACAGATTGTGAGCAGCTAGGACATCACTTATTTCCCATCAAAAGCTTTAGTTAACTTTAAACGTCTAATTCAGTTTTTAGTAGAATGTTACTTGTCTATTTTCACCTGACAGCACGGAAGGGCAACCATCTTCTCGATTTCGTAACTTCCTCGACATGGTCCCTCACATGGCTCCAGTTCATCGTCTTCGTTAAGAGATGCACCACAACCGCCAACCGGGCATTGACTATTATTCCTAAGAAATTCTATATTGCGTTAGGACTAGAAAATATCACAATTCGTGAGAAAATGCTCGCTGCTTCATTTATGACTGCCCTTCTTCTGTCTAGTGGTTGAATATCATCTAAGATAAGGTGCAAGTGATTTCGCACTAATGGATTTGTGATAGATGATTTCAGTCGCGTGAGTAGGAATCACAAAACGTTCGTTAAGCGCTAGTCATTAAGCCCACGATACAAAATGTACTTTCTGTATTATCAAATTGCTGCTTAATACTAGCGATTGATGTCATGTGAACACTAATGAAGTTCGCAATTAAACGAACGGATTTTACACAGACGTTCAACTCCATCGTCTAAGAGCAGCACGTTCTAATGCAGCATACGGCAACGATTCCAAGACCAACACGGGAACTCCTAATGAAGATGTGAATTCGGACCGTGGCAGCGAAGTAGAACACCCAACTCCCCCCTCATCTCTAAGTGCTTTAGGTGTTCTTTTTCTGCGCGCGCAGCAGTTGTCACTCAAAGACAGGCATCTAGGCATTTGTTAACGCATTCTCTAGCAGCTATGGTTTTCATCTAGCGTCATTACTTCGGAGACAAGTGTAGGTACTACTTGACGGTGGAGACATAGCAAACTGCCCCGACTAGCACGTGGTTATACCGAGATGCTGTTCTACTTCGCGTTAAAACTACCCGTCGTCGGACTACTGATGAGAGCAGTGCAGTTCTGCGGGTTTGAAGAATTTTTTCCTGGACTAAAGCTATTTCAAACGGCAAATAAACCCTTCCTCGCATATTATATCAATTTTCTAGCTGACACACATTTTAACCAGTAAACAGTAGATTTTTTAAGAGTAGTTGATGCTTTGGACGCGTGTGGCGCATTGTCCGGAAGGGCTCTATAACAAACACGTGGAATCGATCCCAGCACCCATGGCCAACCAAGCCTTCCATACCTCCGGGGTCGGCAAATTGATACCAACTTGTCTAGGAGCATAACAGCACTGGCTCGATACTTCGGTAAGCCACTGCGAGTCATTGTAGAGGCCAGATATGCATTTAATCACCTCTAAACAATGTTTAATGAAATCGAATGCATGGTGGCACCCCTCATGGATTGATCAACGCCGGGAGCTTTATGCATTTTTATGAGCTTTTAGTTGATGCCTAGCTAAGCCGTGCGTGTACCGATCACTACCGCACAGTAGTACGATACTATGGCTATGAAGACGATAGCCACGAACACTCCATTTCTTTGGTAGCGATGAGCCCGTTAAACATTAGGAGCACCTCACTGTCATAAAAGGATTAATGATAATAGCCAGGAACACTTTATTTCTTTAGTAACTACGACCCCGTTAAACATAAGAGGTCATAAAGGGCTTCACCATCATAAAAGGATTAGTAATAAAGCACTCTTCTTTGATCTATTGCTGAGCGATGCTCCATGCATTCGACTCCATCAAGTAACGGTAGAAGTAAATGAACGCATACCTGGCGCAAACTGCGATTTACAGTAGCCTACTGATGTATCAAATCAATACTCTGTATCCTATCCTACCAGGCAGGTCTGGTAGGAGTTTGCCAACCCGTGGATGGAGAGCTTGGTGGGCCAGGGGCGCGGAGTCGAACCAAAAACCACATGTATGTTGCAGAGCACCTCGAACAACTGCGTTGCATCTCACTCTTGCCGTCATATTCGCTGAAGTTTATGCAGAGTATTAACTATACTCCAGAAACATTCTTCACAGTTGTTCTTGCAATCGTATTTTTCTCATTGATTTGAATAGAACTGCATGACTCCTAGATAGTAGTAGTCCACTTATGTTATTCCCCATCCATAAATGCTTACGTTTTGACAGCTTCATCAAAGCACTGTGCGCACAAATCGTGCTGGCATGGTGTGTGAAAAACGTCGCCAGCGATAGCAAGTTTTCTTAGACATCGATCGTATTCGCATGGGTTCCAACGGATGTCCATCGGTGGTACTAATGGAGAATAACAGTGCATAGCTGGACAACTCTAAACGATATGTGCAACCATAGTGACACCCACTCAATAACAAATAAACATAGACTGACATGACATAAACAAACTGCAGTTATACAAACTTGAAAAGCTCATGGGCGGTGCGGAAATAAGAGTTTCGTTTTCCTCGTGTCACTGACGACTATCTAATGAAAGGCAGCAGATAGCTGACTAAGAGCTGTTTCTATGACTTACAAGCGAGTTGGCCACCAGTAGAAGATGAGTCTAAGAGCCATCGCTAGTTCAGTTGCCAAAACGTCTAAACTCGACGGTTTGATTTTGATGAAATGTATTAACATACCTTGCTGGTTTTTCTGGTTTTTTGTTGGCATTTCAAGCAGACGACGTGTAAACATGGTACTAACTGAACAGCATCATTACACTTCACACCGGTACGACAACTTGCACAGTAAATGGACATCACGTGGAGAAGCAGTGCCAACCGCACTTAAGAGATACGATGGAGGAAATGAAACCGACCGCTTGACATCAGTTTGCATATCTGCTAAACAAAGACTTTAAGATTTTGATGCTCTTTAATGGTAGTAAACATTTCCAATTTCTTCAAGTACATGCTGGAGTTCCGTTATAATGTAAGCCTGGAGAAGCTGAGATAGCCGCATATCGGAAGCATTGTAGGTGGCTGTTAACAGACATTGTAGCTGCGATGAAGTTCTTGATATTTTTGGTGAAAAA